AGGGCATGATTGATAGACTAATCGAAATTGGAAGGTGCTATGGCATGGAAATGAATGTGGAGAAAATAAAAGTAATGAAAATTTCGAGACAACCAACCCCAGTCACAATAAAGATAGGCCAAAAACAACTGGAGAATGTGAAATGTTTTAAATATTTGGGTAGCTTGTTAACAGATGATGGAAGGTGTACGTTTGAAATTAAATCTAGGACTGCCATGGAAAAAGCTGCATTTAGCAAGAAGAAAAATCTTTTACCAGCAAATTGGACTTAAATTTGAGGAAGAAACTAGTGAAATGCTACGTTTGGAGCATCGCTTTGTATGGGGCTGAAACTTGGACACTTAGGGCAGTAGATCAGAAAAACCTGGAAAGCTTCGAAATGTGGTGTTGGAGAAGGATGGAGAAGATCAGTTGGACCGATTATGTGAGAAATGAAGAAGTGTTAATTAGAGTCAGTGAGCAGAGGAATATCCTACACGAAATAAGAAAACGGAAGGCTAATTGGATTGGTCACATCTTAGGCGGTAACTGCCTTCTAAAAGAAGTTATTGAAGGAAAGATAGAGGGGCGGATAGAAGTGACCAGATGACGAGGAAGAAGACATAAGAAGATGCTGGATGACCTTGGGGACAGAAGAGGATATTTTCATTTGAAGGAGAAAGCTCTAGATCGCATTAAGTGGAGGAACTGTTTTGGAAGAGACTGTGGACCTGAGGTCTTGACAGATTACAGATGAATGAATAAGTATCTGACCTAAAGATTTTACACACTTCCAAGGTGTATGTCTTGAAGAACTGTTTCGACTATTCTGTACTAAATGGTAGACAAAAATAAACATGTCACCGTAAGAAATAAGTAATTATGCGACCGAATGATGAATGAAGAGTTACAAGAAAGGTAGGTCGCGCCACAGCTCAAGCGGTTAGTCGATGACTTCCCACCGCGGCGGCCCGGGTCCGATCCCGGGGTCTGTTCAAGTGGGATTTGTGGTGGACAAAGTGGCTCTGGGGCGGGTTTTCTCCGAGTACTTCTATTTCCCCTGCCAAGTTTTATTCCACCAAATTCTCCATCATAATTATCACCCGGGGCACACTACAATAGGCCAATCGGTGGCCGCCGTGCCGAGTGGACACTGTTGGACTCCACTCCCCACTAAGCGATTTTTTTTACAAAAAAGGTAATTTGGGTTTTGAACTTATATAACAGAACAGCTCTGCTTTACGTCAGCCTTGAACAAAGTCGTGTTTCAATGACATTACAATTTTTAGTTCATATTTCAAAAGCAACGACTGCTGAATTCCTTTCTGCGCAGTGCGTTAAAGGTAATAAGTTTTAACTTATCAGAAGGCTCTGACCCATATGAGTAACCGGTTCTACGACAATCACCCTTACCGTGATACTGATATGCAACTCAGCAACACATGTATGGGTAACATTAAAATGAATTTTAAGCAAGCAGATAACTCACACACACATACCTGAAAATCCATGCTGTAGAGGCAAGCAACAGCAAAACTTTTACTAAAGTTATTTTTATACCCGTGTTATCCAATCAGAGGCGCTGCAAGCTTAATATCCTTTAATTACACCCACACTTATATATATAAGACGAAGTTACATATTGTAATTCCACAACGCAGTTGAGTTACCTTGCTTTGTATTAATAAAGTTCTAGTTTCGATTCTGAGCATGGAATCTCTCTGTCCTGAGTATTACTTGGGGAATTACTCCTCTCATTCTCGCAAGAAGAGAGAAATATTGCCACATGATAGGCTATAGCCTCTTCTGTACAATTTCTTTCCATTTCATTAATAACAATAATATTTATATTCCATTATGTTGTAGAAAAAGAGAAGGTAAAATGAAGCTATATTTTGTCACTATGGCTATAGAGCCCTTTGGACATCGGCCGCTTTTTAAACTTTCTTAATTTTATGTACACTGCACGGCTGTTTTACTCCCGGGGAAGGAGCCCACGCTACCCATGGGATAGAACGTTAGGTGGACCCCAGTGTCGGTCTCAACGCTGTGGAGAAGTGAAAATTCTTGACCCCACTGGGACTCGAGGAAGAACTTGAATGTCTCAAGGCTGCCATGTAATTCGTGTGAGAACGTAACTGCATGAACAGTCAAGAAGGGAAATGTATCTGGCCAACTTGAGGTACTGTCATACAGCCTGGATGATTACAATCACTTTCTTATCACTATAATCACACTGATGCACATGCGCACAGCCGATGTGCACTGCCTTCAGAGTATTCTCTCCAACCCCTATTTTACACTTAATTCAATGCAGTAAACTTTCTTTGTGCTCATTTCATTCCGTACACACAACAGCTGCTTGCATGCGGTAACTCATGGCCAACAGGTTTCACCGCTATCTCACAGCAAAATTCCTTTCAAAAACTTCATAATCTTCTCTATTAACACACCTTCTCCTTCTGGCGAAGTAACACTGTTTCTTATTGCAGAAATCTTTCTACATTTTACAATAAATTTTTAAATCCAACGAAAGTCAATCATTCTAGAATTGCAGGCCCAGTGGTGGAAATAAAGAATTATGTTTTCTGAGATATAATATCGCGTGTTCGGTTGGAATTCAAGCAACGTTTCGGAGGTGAATGGTGCCTCCAACTTCAGTGTTGAAGAGTAAGCCATGCAGGAATCCAGCACGAAAGAAGCAGCAAGCATAATAGAGAAATAAAAATGTTTGCGGCCGCAGTTTCTTTCTTGACTTCAACCCTGAAGATGGAGGCGACTTGTTCCTCCGAAACTTTCCCTTTCAACTGATTAAACTTTCATCCCAGAAGATAGACCTATTGAAAACCAATCGTTGCCAAGAAATCCTTCCATTTTATTGTTTATTGCTATAAAATTCTAGTCGCTGATTTCAGGCGGTCACAGAATTCTAACTGGCGGTGAGAACAGGAGTCGCTATGTGGGTAGGGCTCATTGCCTCCTCTAGCAACCTAGCCTTCCTGCCGGCTTTCCTCGTCTGAAGCTGTAGAACGAATATTTCTGTTGACCGGTGGCGGAGGAGTAAGGGGAGTGCAGGAAGGGACGAAGAACGCAGTGTGGGATCATCCGTGAGAATTAATTGCCTGGCTCCAACCTAGTTCTGGAAATTATGTAGCTGGAAATCAAAGTAAAGCAGAACATACACACAGCACATACTTTCCTTTGAAAACAATATGGCTGATACAGCCATCAGCACTCAAAGCTATAATAACCAAGGAAACAGTAATTAATGACATTTGGGGATACCCCCATAACGTACGGTATCGGCGGATGTAGACATTTTGCGGTGCCCTGAGTGAGATCAGTTGTTACAGTAAACAGTAAAAGGTAAATCTATCCTTGTAAGAGGCCGTGAAGGCCCATCGGGTCGTGAGACGTCGAGGCACCCACATTTTCTTTAGACAATCTGCTCACAGATGGCGGTAAGTATGTCAGCCTTAAGAATTAGGTCAATTGAAAAATACCCACTTAATAGAACTTGAACCCGCGACTTTCCGCCTTTTAACATAGNATGTGTTTCTTATCACCACGTCATGGCGGGTCCTCAGGTTGCGGATGGAAGGAAGCTGCGAATATATTGAACATGCAGTCGCGGACAGCCGACAAGGGGTTGACCTCCAGCTTGGTGGTTGGTTGTGGGGCTAACAACTGTTCACCGTAAAAAATAAACTTGTTGCGAAAATGCACACAAAACCTCGGACCTGGACGTATCCTCTGGATAAAGGACTTAATCTAAAGTGGGGGAGAAGAGGAATGCGAATAAGACATTGGTGGGGAGACCAAGGCGTAGATGGGTGGACAATATTAAAATGGATCTTAGAGCGATAGGATGAGATGGTATGAATTGGATTGGTCTGGCTCAGGATAGGGACCAGCGGAGGGCTCTTGTCAACACTGTAATGAACCTTCGGGTTCCATAAAATGCTGGGAAATTCTTGAGTAGCTGCAGATTTGGCTTCTCCTCAAGAAGGGCTGACCTCCGTAAGTAAGTAATTACATGTATAAATACATATTACAATTAAACATTTTGTGAGACAGTTCGTAGACTGACAATAGTGTAATGAAGAAATTTAGTTGTTCGGAATGCAAGGTCTGCGTAAACTAACGGCCAACACCATCACGACAATACAGATTCACAGACAGAGTTGATCTTGACAAACATTTTACATTACACCAGTTATTCTTTCGAGGCAGTGAAAATATTTATACATTTCATGTTATGCTTGAGATAATTCCATAGGTGTTTCGATTTTTCTGATAGTAATAAACATGTTTCGTTTGCGAAGATGTTTAAAGAAATGTTTCCACCATCTACAATTATAAAAGACAAGTCCCAATGTGACTATTTCAGTTTTCTCACTTGATGATTCACTAGCCTTACATGTTTCGATCCATTTGGATCATCTTCAGAGGCATCAAACACTTTTTATGAACCACTATCACAACAGTTGTCATATCAAATACACATGTATTGTCCAACTACACAACNAAGATGATCCACATGGATCGAAACATGTAAGGCTAGTGAATCATCAAGTGAGAAAACTGAAATAGTCACATTGGGACTTGTCTTTTATAATTGTAACTGTTAGTGTGACGGACCAAAATGAAACAAATTAAATTTCCACCATCTCTTGAACACTTGAAGCTACACAATATACTCTTGGTTTTTCTTTAACAATACATCATGGAAAACAACACGGAAAACACTGGCAGATGAACACAACCATTGAAAAAGACAACAAACCTTAAAGTGTCATGAAAAGAAATATTAACCACTGGAAATGACAACAAACCTTAAAGTTTCGTGAAAAGAAATATAAATTGTGTTACGTAATTATTCCGGTCTATTTGGGATCTTATCAGAAGTATTATCACTCAATTCTTTTCCCCATGGCCTTCATTGATTTACCTTTAATGTTCGGAAATGCTGGTTTTCCATCTATTTTACAGTCTTCATACAAAATTTCTGTTAATACTTCCATTCCCAATTTGTGCGCCAGTCTCTGAGATGCTTCTGCAGTGAAGACAGTCGTAGTGGCTTTCAGACCCACGGCTTTACCCAGGTCGAACCTGGCTTTGAGTAACTCCAGCCCAAGTCCTTGACACCGAAACACTGGATCGACACAGAGACCCAGGGCTGACATGTATTCCTCCACACCATAGTGCTCGTACATATTGACTCTCTCTGATACGAGATCCAAAACGAATCTTGATATGTTTCTGAGGCGTAATCCTTTGAACTGGAGGAATAAATAGTACAGTGTCGTGTCAGTCACTGCAACGGTGTTACGCATTGCAAAAGTATACATGAAGCGAGTGGTACTCAACTTACGCAGCCTCATTCAGCGGATACCGTATTTACGCATGTATAGGCCGCGTGCGTGTATAGGCCGCAGCACAATTTTCAGACAGAAATTATAGAAAAAATAATTTTCTTGGAATATTATTTCAGGAGTAGAACACCCTGTATTACTAATTATGAATATATTTTTTTTTTAAATGAAGCGTGATTTTGAATATTTCTAATATAAGGCGCACCCCAGTTTTCCTCTTGAATTTTTGGCAAAAAATGTGTGGCCTATACATGTGTAAATACGATATTTCTGCTTGGATCTCGTAAAATGTTTCGATTCATCTGAAGGTAAAAGGTAAAAAGCTATCCATGTAACAGACCATGGCGGTCCATAGAGTTGTGAGACGTCGAGGCTCCCACAATTTCTAGAAAATCGGCTCACAGATGACGGGGTGGTTGTTAGCCTTATGCACCGGCAGCCCTTTACCCCCCAAGAAGATTCCTGGTACTCATTTCTGTTAGACGCTGAGTGGACCCCAGGGCCATAGTGGGGCTGAAATAATTTGGTAGATTGAAAAATTCAGTAATATCGAAAAACGAACCCGAAATCTTCCGGTTTGTAGCATAGTGCTTCAACCAACTACGTTAACAATAACAATAACAATGAACCCGTTGAGAACTCTATATATTTATATAAAATGAAATTAACATTTTACTGAACAAGAAATCAGGAAGCACCATGACAGTTACAAAATAAGTATGAGAGAAATACATTTATTTTCAAGTGTATGAGATTTCCTACTAACAACGTTAACAGGTGATCTGCGTCCGGCCGAATGATGCACTTTACGTGAAGAGCCGACGTTGACAGTACTAACATCTCAGAGATACCAACATACCGACAAACATGCAAAGATATTAAAGGGTTTCACCGGACTTCCCACATCTTCCAAATCTACCAATTTCCAACCAGTCGCTTATTACAGACTTTCTGTGAATCGTTCATTCTCGGAGAACTGACAAAATTCATGCTCTTTTCCTCTCTTTATCTTCCTTTTACAGACATCTTTATTAACCATCTCTTAATCTAGATCTGGATTAACCTCAAGTACGTCTGTCCGCTTCCAGTGGAGTACCAATCGCATTTATAACAATAGTACATTGGCGTGAATTCCAAGTTAGATTTAAGAAGAATTCGAACACCCTGTATATTGTAGATGCTTGCTGTTACGGTACCATGTCAAGTTTTCCATTTTTGAATCACAAGGGTGGAGTACATCCATGACGTCCATTCTGCCATGTTCTTGTGTTGGTGGTGCATTCCAACGTGATAAGTTCTAAAGGTATTTTCTTTATTCATATGTGACCATTTTATGGCTCCAAAGAAATATGCCGAAATAGACAGAATATATATTGTCACGCGTATGAAGTGCGACCACAGACGGGGTTCGGAATGATAATTTGATTTATTGAACACCTATGCAAACAACTCGTAACTAATAGTAACTACAGAGCTACTGCTAATTCACATACTCACCAGTCCATTACAACACGCTCTAAGCCTTCTCAGTCTGCTGTGTCTTCAGCAGTCGTTGTCTGGTAACGGCTGCCAATGCAATTGATACCTCAACTTCCGTGTTTACGTTCTTATTGGCTGGCCACTCTCTCACAACTACATGAATTCTAGACTTGTCCTGCTTATAACACCTTGGCACGAACCGTGTAGAAAACACTTCTACCAACAGCTCTTCTATTGTTGCGTTGCATAGCTGTTGCAAGGACCGTGTAAAGAACGTCGCTTCCCAGTTACTAAAGTGTTGCATGTTAGGAAACCGTTGCTACTATTGCCTGATAGAAGCAGTTATTTGAAGTCGTTACCTAGCAATGGGTCTACAGGCTACAATACATATTTCCAAAATTTAATTTGTAAAATTTAGGCAAGTCATTAGCATCGTATTAATTTTTTATTTCGGCATTCAGTGGCTTTTGTTCCTTTATCTTTCTGCGACAGATACCGCATAGTTACATAAAAAATGAACATGTAAACCTGCTCTGTCATGTTTTCAATCACGCATCATTATCTGGCGTAACCTTTCAGCCTAAATTAATGTCTGTCTCCAATATCTCTCTCACAAAATCCACATGAAACAGAACTGCGTAATTAATTATTTATATCTATGAGTTCGTGAAGTTGTTCCTCTGAACTGAAACACAGCGTGAGACCATTCATATATAGAAAGTGATTTATTTTATAAAGTTTTAAATTGATGGATTCAATATTAAACGCTCTATTTGTATCTTTCAGCGGACGGTTAAGTGCGTTTGGCTCACCGCACATTGGCAGACATCACGATGAGTTTAAGAATCCTGGATCCACTCACACCCCCTGGTATGATAAGTTGAGAGCTGTGAGTCATTGCTACGCAATACACTTGAGCAAGTCCTGAATGAGAGTATCAGTCATGTAGATATGTACATAATCATAAGTGTTCCTATAGTTTACAAACGCCAGATACTTGGACACGAGGGTCACCAGCATGTATAAATGACAGACCCGACCTCTCGTCAGAGAGGGTGCCCCACAAAAAAAAAAAGACCGTAACTGTCAAACAGTAATAAATATGCGCTCACGAGCCCTAGATGGTACTCGACACCAAGACTTACTGACTATCGCAATGTGACTCTGACTTTGACTTTGTTTACGAGAGGGTAAGAGGTTCGTGTGAGATGGCCTCCAGACTGGAGCGAGCTATGAGACAGTCGCCAGTTAGTAAGGAAGTGAAGAAGAAAGCTGAGGAAGCTACGGTGTTGAAAGCCGTTACCAGGCGACAGCCGGTGCTGAGAAGACTTAGTACGTGCTGTAGTGAACTGTATAGTGTGTGAATTAGCGATAGTGCTATAGTTGCTTGTAGTCACGATCTGTAAATATAAAGTAAATCCAATTACCAATACAAACCCCGTCTATAGTCACTCATATACGTGACAATATTTCGGATGGTACCATATTTCAGCATTGAAATTTGTAACAATATCTATTGTTGGTAATATCTCATAGTAATTTATACTATATTTTTCTCATTTTCGTTAAATTTTCCTCTCGTTGTTGCAGAACTGCAAAATGATGAGCTTTGCCTCCAGGAATTTCCTGTATTTTATATTAACACACACCGCATATTTCCACGTGTTTTCTCCGTTACAGTAAGGTTATCTTTGCGTAACTTAAGAAGAGGTGAAGGTACGAAGATCTGTTACACTATCTTTGACGTTTTTAATCTCATAATCTGTTTTTGTTGATCAACTAACCGACTGTAAAATTCCTGCACTAAAATTCTTGAGAGTTTTCTCGGAAAACTCAAAGTTTTCTTCTTCTGTATCTGCTCATATTTTTTACGAACCATGGTCATAACATTACTCCTACCGTCCTGACAACTGCTATCGGTGAATAGTGCATTATCGAAAGTACTGTGGCACGTCCGCTATATGCCGGAATAATTTACCCAGAAGTTACGTTTGTTACAAGGATACGTCACAATAAACAGTGACGAAACAGCAGAATATGTCACGCTACGGAATTTACACGACCGAAGTACCCCTGGGAACGGTGCCCACCTCATCCTCCCTGACTTGAACATTCTAATTATACTTTGAGAAAAGTACAAGTTATGAAGCTTCTCATTATGCAGTTTTCTCCAACCTCCTGTCACTTAAACTCTCTTCGGTCCAAATATTCTCCTTGGCACCCTGTTCTCAAACACCCTAAGCCTATGTTCCTCTTTTAAAATCAGAGACTAGGTTTCACACCCATACAAGACCATAGGCAAAATTATAATTTTGTATATTCTAATTTTTAATGTTTTTGGACAGCAGATGAAAAGACAAAATGTTCTAGACTGAATGGTAGCAAGCATCACCCGAGTTCAATCTCCTCTTAATTACCTCCTAAATAACGGTTTTTTATTTGTCATGGTTGTTCCCAAATATTTGAAATGTACCACATTTTCATTTATGTCATGATTTTGCCCTGCATTTTAGTGCCGAGACAGCAACATATACTTAGTTTTCTCTGTCAATTAAATTTGCGTCAATTAAAGTTTGTGTGTTTTTCTTTATGGTATCTAAATCATCACCCAGTAGATTCACATCTTCAGCAGAGACCAACAGCTGATGTGTCCCATTTAATTTCAGTCTCACCTGGTCTTCTTGGACCTTCCTAATGACAGAGATGAAAAGGAGTGGCGATAAAGCATCTCCTTGTTTTAGACCATTCTGGACAGCAAATTTATCAGACAAATGTTTACCTTGCTATCAATTTCGTTTAAACACATTTTAATCAGCATAACTACTTCATGGGTATTCTAGCTCTATCAAAATATTGCACAGTATTGTATTAATATTGTTTATTATTCTCTATATGCTATATGTTTCGATCCAGCTGGATCATCATCAGGAAATTTTCATGATATATCACTCGTTACTGAACTGTGTTCTAATAATGATCCATATTAATAATATAAATTTCGTTACCAATTTCTACGTCTCGTTGTGTTACTAAATTGTAATATTAGTCATAAAGGTTAAAACTTTAAATTTTTTTTTTTTCAAATGTGTCAAAATGTTCAACTTTTTACTGTCAAATAATTATTAATTAATTTTATAATTGAATTATTTTGAAGGGATATATTTCTTCTTAGTGATGACAGACTGAGCCCACTAGGTACTGCGGCCACTTCTGGCCTACTGTACCAGCCCCAGACGATAGATGATGGTGACTGTGGGGCAATTGGTGGAATGAAAAGTGACAGGGGAAACCGAAGTACCCGGAGAAAACCTACCCCAGCGCCTCTTTGTCTACCACAAAACCTACATGACCAGACCCAGGCTCGTACCCGTACCGCCGAAGTGGGAAGCCAGCTACTAACCGCTTGAGCTATGGCGCGGCTTTGGAGGGAGGTAAATGTCGATAGCAAGTGATAGATCATGAAAATTGCCTGATGATGATCCAGCTGGATCGAAACATGTAGCAGATAGAGAATAATAAACAAGTGTTAATACATTAATGTTCGTTTATTTACTTGGAATTTGTTGTGTTCAAGGGCCATATAAAAATACCAGGAAATGCTACAGTTTTCAATTCATGCAGTTTCAGACTTACTTGTTTTCAATGAAAACGCTTTCAGTACTCGGATTACACTGCGTCGAATGGTGAGATAATAAATTAAATATTAACTGCAAAGTATGTTGACAGAAGTTGTGGCGGCCCGTACCTCCCTGCTGAGATATAAACCCGAGACCTACAGAATATCATGTAAGAGTGAATCACTGCCACGTCTTCCACCGCGCCCAAAGGAATTTAGTTGCCACAATTTCTTTCGAAACGTCACATTTAAAACAATTTGTGATAATGTCTTCCCTCCCACCCTAACCTCCCAACCGGAAGTGGAACGAGTGACGTGTTTGATTGTGACGTTTCCGCCAGGTTCACTGCATATCCTCGCGCTCCTCCTTTCTCGATAAGATCGTAGTACCTGATACGAAATTATGAAGATTTTCATTGTTTGGAATATTATCATTAATCCAATACTTCTAGTCGTGTGATTTCCTCCACTAATTACCCCGCATTCATATCTCTATATTTACCATATCACTTGTATGGTTCTCGTCCTTGAACGAGACTCCCATGATGTTGCAACCTGCGATTTTTGGCGGATTCTCTTCTTCGTTATGCCCCACGATAGCCACAAGTGACACGTTTTGCTTCAGCATCATCCTCCATATGTCTTGCAGTTCTGCAGTTGACACAGGGTCCTCAAGTATCCTGACGCAGGCGCATGTTACTTCGTCCCTGCAGAAGTGAGTTGTCATGAAGTTGACGATATCTTCATGCATGTGTTCCGGAACATCTTGAATTCGAAATTCTGGTACCGTGCCATCCGGCGTCTCCCTTAGACCGCTGCACTGCCTCCATACTGTAGGCAAGGGAACTGAGTTTGGTCTAGACCACTTTTCCTTGTTCCCAGACATGGCTAACTATTGGACACTGGAAGAGCACTAACTGTTGCCACTACTTTCTCTCACGTACGCTGGTGTAGTGTGTCACTTTTTGCCCACTAGGCATGTACACACACTGCTCAAGTTACGAACAAGATAAGATAACACATGTTGCCTGTTATTACCTTCGGACCTGTAAAGTCATTCTGGTTCTCACGAAATAGAAATGTCATGTGTAGTTTGATTTCGCAACATATAAACAGCCAATTTGACATTAATTGAGCATTTCAGTCCAAAATTCGTGTAATGGTAACGCTAAAAACTGGAATTTGAAAATAATATGTTCTCATTTAGGCCTCTATTTTGGTTCCTCAGCCTGTCACAGAAACCACGCGGTCTTCGCTCGCACAGACGCTGGGATCGTGGGTTCGAATCCAACTCAGGGCATGGATATTTGGTTTGTCTGTATGCGTTTATTCTCTGTTTATATTGTCCTGTGTTTAGGCAGCGACCTTGCAACGGGCTCATCATTCATCCAAGGAGTCCTACAGTTGGTGAAAATTGATTACGAAACTGAAAACAGGGCCTGGGTCCTGGAAGAGCCATTGAAAGAAAAAGATTTCCTTGTCATTACACCCGTTTCCATACGGAGAATGAAGAAAAAAACTCGAAATACGGAATTACGCATTCCACCCAATTAATTAACTTCCGATCACTACTCTGTCTTAACTGACGATGTATAAACTGCAGCGGAAATACCGAAATGAACACAATTCTCCAAAACAAAATAAGTTGACCCGGAAACTAATGCTTTTGACATGCATTCTGACGTCAACCCGTTGGAATTTTGGCTAGAATATCGACTTATATTATTCGTAGATTTCCTCAGTCATTCTAGGAAATTTCTCGATATTAATTTAATTAAGAAAAAGACATCTTCCCTCCACATTTTTCGATTTGTTATTCCCTGTAGTCTAACTACACGGGAACATACTATTTACTGACAGAGCCGTTAAATTAATTAAAAAATAAAACAAATAATAAAATTCGAAATATTTCAAATTAGGTTAACCAAATGCCACCCCTAATCAGTTAACCGATGAGAGACCGAATTGGCCAATACGCCACACATATGACTTGGAAACACATGATCAGCCCATTATGCAACATTCGCACCACGCGCAGCTGTGCGCCACGCATTTTGACAATTCGTAAGCGTTCCATTGAAGCCACGCTTGCAACGCAGTCTACTTGTTGAGCCTCCTGGAACTATGTTGAACGACTAGCTTAGTTATTGAGACATGGGCAGGCTTTGTTTCGGACTTTCTTTGGACAGGTAAAGGAAACATTATGACGATTAATCAACTGTTTTGATGATTAAACAGTCACTACTGCTTTATACTGGCACATATTAATAGGTCACCCTTTATTTTGTGCTCCAACTGTTCCACCAATCCTTGCTACGTCATCAGCATAGGCTATAAATAGCCTAGTTCCATTGAAAACTGTATGTCAAGGGTTAATTGTTATATTTCTCATCAACTTCTCTAAATACAAGTACAGGTAAAGGTAAAGCTTTTCCTGTAAGAAGCCATGGAGGCCAATAGGGTTGTGAGACGTCGAGGCTCTCTCATTTTCCGAATATTCGGGTCGAAGTTGTCAGCCTTACGCGCCAGCTGAACTTTACCCACAAGGAAGATCCTAGTACTCATTTCTGTTAGAGGCTGAATCGTTCCCAGGGCCATAGTGCGGCTGGAACGTTTAGGTCAACCGAAACATCTAATTACTTCATCGGGAATCGAACCGGCAACCTTCCTGCTCTTGTAGCATAATGCTTCAACCAACTACGCTACCGCGTACTCCACACATTTCCTAGACCAATTTAAACAAAAAATGTGGATAGATAATTTCCTTGTCTGATACCACAATCTGTTTAAAACTTCCTGACAATTTATTCTTGGGTTTAACTGTATTTTATATTTTTGACAATGTCATTTTTGCAAGAGATAATAACTTAGCAGGCATACTAAATTCCTTCACTGCTTCTATTTTCTGAAACCGGCCAATGTTGTCAAATGCTTGTCTGAAGTCGTCATATAACTGACGTAAACTGACATATTCACACGATTTTTCTAATATTTTTTTCCTCGGCACTACAGCCCCAGTGGGCCTAGGCCTACCTCCATGAACTCCTCCGTTCACTTCGGTTTTTCTAGTTCTTACACATTCGGTAGGACTCCTTGGGAGGGTGATCAGCTCGTCGCAAGGCCTCTACCTGTACACAAACACAGAAAAACGCACACACACACAAACTAAACATCCATGCCCTGAGTGGGATTCGAACCCACGATCCCCGTTTCCAAGCGAGCGAAGACAGTACATGCCTTAGACCGCTCGGCTACCGTGACCGGCTTTTCTAATATTTACCCAACTGTAAACATATGATCTGCAATGTTGCGACCTTGACTAGATCCATCTTTATATGTGCCATAAATCTCGTCAAATCTCGTATAACTCGATATGCCGTGCCAATATACGTGGTAGAGTCATTAAGTTAGTGGAATGTGGTTTTATCTCATCGTATTAAAAGGTATTTACATACACTTACGCAGATCAACATCGGCCCTCAAAATAGTTGTCTTTGGCTTCTATACAAGTCTGCCAACGTTGATATAGCTGTCGAAAACATTGCTGAAACACATTGGCGGGTAATTCCAGTATGACGCTTTGCGGCAATTCCACGAACTTATTGACTGTGGCAGTGTATCTACCATGCGATTTGGAATTTCAACCCAGAAGTCCGAAATCTTGTTAGTCAATGCAGTGAGAACATCAGATTCAGCAAAGATGACACAGAAGCCGGCAAAGCAATGCCTTCATATCCTTCGTGAATGCAATTTAGATCTGCAACACTCCTTCCCAGTTATTTCAATTTTAAAATTCTACCAATGGGTTTACTGGTTACTGAATTATCTTAAGAAGTTACTTTTAGAAGGATGTCGCTCCGATATCGATAGTCATATTAGATTTAATACAGTAATTTGTGACCAAGAACAATCTATGAGCAGTGTAGACCCATAATACATAATTTAGTCTAAATCTGTCCACTAGTCTGCCAGTCAAAACATGGTTAGGTGGGCGGGCAGACAGACCGACAGTGTCGTGCCCCATTACAGTTTAATTGCAAGTAGATTATATTGGAGACACATAAAACACAGCAAATGTTTCCGTCTGTAAAGTAGGACCTAAAAAACATTCCGCATGTTTAATTAAATATTATTGCAAAATGTGAAAACCCGGGACACGGTGATTTCTATTCCGGCCGCCTAGCACAAATAAAAGGCAGTACATTCGTGAATATCTGATAATATCCCGTGTGGAGACAGTGTTGAATACGTCCACCGTTGCCCTGAGAGCCGTAGGAGGCGAGGAAAAGGAAGTTTCAAATCTGAGACAGTAAAATATGGTCACAAGCCCCATGAGACTTGTACCCAAGAATGACTGCTCTGGCTAGGCCCAGCAATAATTATAAATGACAGACCTGTCCTCTGGTCAGACAGTGTGCCCCACATCAACAAACCCACAATTGAAGAAAGCAGTCTTCTGGGATTTGGTACCATGTATATGTGGTGTTAATCGACGTTTCGGAGGAACGTATCGCCTCCATCTTCAGGGTAGAAGGAAAAATACACAGTTGTGTATATTTCCAACACCAGTCTGATTTTACCGGTTCTCATGGTCTCTTCGCTTGCGGATTTCTTATATTTTTCCTTCTACCCTGAAGATGGAGGCGATACGTACCTCCGAAACGTCGGTTAACACCACATATACACGGTTCCAAATCCCAGAAGACTGCTTTCTTCATAGTCACCGCCGTGAAAACCTAGAATCTCACAAACCCACAGTTGTTTGACAGTAATAAAAATATGTTCTTAAGCCCCAGATGGGTGCGTTATTCCAAGACAGACTGACCGTAACATAACTTTGACTTTGACTCTGAGAGACGCAGAGTCAGATCAGTGAGAAATACAGACAGGAGCCTGAGATTCTGAAGGCAGTTGAATATTCGTTACCTAGCAACGACTAGTAAGCAGAAGCTGAAGATATTATTTTATGTGTTACGTTTATAGTAATCTATACAGTATTAAAATTATTTGTAGTTACAACTTGTGAGTGTCTAACAGGTCTATCCATCTATTCCAGAAACCGTTATTAACAGTAACGCAAACACCGTACACGTGACAACATTGTGTCGGATTACCGGCAATGTATGTCCTTGAATATGAACTTCGGTTATATGTTGTCGGCCATCAGCAGGCACACAACTTTCGCAACATAACTCAGACATTCCTTCTAATAATCATTTGAAGTAGATAACAACGAAAAGGTGATAAACGTACAGAGAATTACATACAAAAACAGGCTGATAAAACCACGCTAAAACATTACGTTTTTACTTGAAAAGGAATACAGTTCTGTGTCCCACTATTCACAGCACATTTATATACAGATTAGAAGCTTACAATATATATGTATTCAGCATTATATATTTCAATTCTGTTCTATTCGCCTGTCATTTTCTTCTTATTACTACAGTTCTTTGAATTGTTCTGCGCAAGCGTACTGACGGCCGAGCTTCATCCTTTCACTTGTAACAGGAATGCCCCTCCTCATGTTACAGGCAATGCTGTACTGAGCAGAATTATATTAGCAGAAAATAATAAATTCTTAAGGAGATTCTCGTCTATGTTAACTCGGCCTTCCATTTGCCCCCACTGGAGACAATTTTACCTCAGTTTTGTCCTACATTGAAAGAACGGCGTGTGATTTCCGAAAAGGCAGGTTTACGCTCAATCAAAGTATTGTGACGAATACAAACACTACTGGGCAAGGGATCGGTAAGCACGCTCCCGCAGAGACGAATAGACACAGAGTTAATATATGTTGCTATGAAGGCAGATCCCTAAAACCAGTTCAGTTCAAGGCACGTTTCCATGACACCAGCCAGGCAACAGACATTCTCCATGGTCTCCGGCAGGCTACATAAGGAGCCAAGTAGAGCAGAAAATGATTCATACG